TGGGACTACAGGCGCCCACCACAACGCCTGGCCATTTTTTGGTTGCAGCCATTATTGTTGTTTGGCGGGCCCGGGCTGGGGATCCGAACCCGCCACCTTAGGTGTATGTGGCTGGCGCCTTAGCCGCTTGAGCCACAGGTGCCGAGCCCAAAAGGGCTAATTATTGAGCATCTGGGAGCCTAATGACACTGACTATTAGGAGAAATGTGTGTTGGTTTTTAATAGCCCATTGGAGTTTTTTTCTCCTTTTTGATTAGGAATACGATGAACCAATCTTGAAACACCTGCAAGATATTAAAGTGAAGTTTTCTGATCCTGGACAACCTATGGTGAGTACTGACTTGGAGCTCTGGTTGATGTCAGATAGGGTCAGGCCACAGAAGCTGAGGGACTTGGACCTAGGCAACAGCCCACATCCAGTTGCTCATGTGCTGTGTGGCCCTGAGCAAGACTGCTGCCCAGGAAGTTGGTATCATGTTACCTTTCTGTGCCTCCCCCAGCATGATGGTTGTGTATGTGAGCTGGGTAATTTCAGTTCCCCAAGGCCATGGAGCTAAATGGTGGCCAAGGCAAGGGTCAGACAGGAGTTAGGACTCCTAGGCTATGGTGGTGGTCACCATGCTAGGCCTTGGTCTTCTGGTTTGTTTCCAGTGTTAGATAAGAATGATACCATCAAGGTTACATCCATGTAATGTGTATGTAAAAATGAAAGATTGGGATGTATATTCAAATATGAATAGCACTTATCTAGAAATCCAGGATACTAATGAAAGAAACCTAAGTTTTACTCTAAAAAGTAATTACAGATATGAGTGAAAATGTTTTCCTATTGTTTGATACCTCCTGAAACATCTTTCCAAAGCTCTTGCTATGTGTCTCATTACACTGGTACTGTTAGTGGTGTAACTCAGACTGCCGGATCAGTAAATTCCTCTGGGCCTAGGCCAGTGGTTCTCAACATGTGAGTTGCAACCCACAGGAACTATATTAAAGGGCCTCAGCATTAGGAAGGTTGAGAACCGCTGTTCTAGGCCTTACTTCATCTGAACAAATGTCTCACTGATCTTGACGTGATGCTTTCTATTTTTGTTCTATTTTTGAGACAGAGTGTCAAGCTGTCACCCTGGGTAGAGTGCTATGGCTCTATCATCATATCTCACAGCAACCTGCAACTCTTGGGCTCAAGCAATCCTCTTGCCTCAGTTTTTTTCTATTTCTAGTAGAGACAGGGTCTCATGTTTTGCTCAGGCTGACCTCGAACCCATGAGCTTGAGCTATCCACCCGCCTTGGCCTCCCAGAGTGCTAGGATTGCAGGTGTGAGCCACCACGCCCAGCGAGGTGATGCTTTCTTAACCTAGCCGGCTCCTCCCAGAGAGCACTGTTCGTAACCTGTTGACTTGGCCATAGCTAACGGGTTCCATTCCAGTGCAACAGCATTTCCAGGGACACATGACTGACTGACTGGTGGCTTTCAGTTTCAGGTCTTGGAGACAAATGCTGTGTGTGGGACTACGGGTTACAGATCCTTGGGGGTAGGAGTTGGGGGATCTGGGACCAGTCATCAGTTTCTTCCTCCTCATCTCAGAGCTGGGCCCAGGGTGCTAGATAAGGGCTAGTGTGAGTCCTATAGGAAGTGGGGGCGGGCCACACCTGTATCTGTCTCTTCTACTTCTTCCCATGTGTTTTTCACAATGGAAGGTGACATTCAGTTGTCCCTATGTAGGTGAGGGCGCTCAGACTGGTGGGCTGCTCTCCAGATGGGCGGATGGGCGCCCCTCTCTGGGTTGTGTCTGGTCCTTCCTCTGCCCTTGTGCCGCCTTGCTCAGGCTCGCAGCGCTCCCAGAGGCCTTCTGCTGGGATTGATATGTGTTCCCCCCATCCTATGGTTCGTCTAGACTCGTTTACTGTCATTTTCCCCCTTTGGGTCAGTTTCCTTTTTTTCCTCTATCTCACGTGTCTTCTGGACTAGAGCCCTGGTTGTGGTGGGCTGTGGGTCAAGTCATTTGGTTTTCCCCTTACTTCCCCCATTAGAAATGCCTCATGTGCTTGTTAGTGAACACTTAGAAGACACACACAATGTAAAGAACACTGTTCAGATCTCCATTTTCTAGAAATAACTCCCAGTACTTCATCAGTTTCCCAGTAGTCTTTTTCTTTTTTAAAATTATTATGAAATGGCTGGGTGCCTATAGGTTAGTGGTTAGGGCGCTAGCCACATGCTCCAGGGTTGGCGGTTCAAATCTGGCCCTGGCCTGCTAAACGACAACAACAACAAAAAACTAGCCAGGCATTGTGATGGGCGCCTATAGTCCCAGCTACTAGGGAGGCTGAGGCAAGAGGATCACTTGAGAGTTTGAGATCGCTGTGAGCTGTGACGCTACGACACTCTACCAAGGGCGACATGGTGAGACTGTCTCAAAAAAAAAAAAAAAAATTATTATGAACTGTCTTAAGGCATTATTAAAGTTACAAAGAAAAATGAAACCACCTAGCTTCAGAATGAAGCCTGGCCACTATGTAATTCCTCAGTCCTCTTGACGACTCTTCTTTCCCCCTCCCAGTACTTGCTTGGCTGGAGGTACAGTTGTCATTGCTGCCATTGGCTATTGGTTTGTTTATGCCACCACCTAAATTTTTGCAGTGGCATCATAGCTCACAGCAGCCTCACACTCTTGGCCTCAAGTGATTCTCTTCCAGAGTGCTGGGATTATAGGCGTAGCCACTGTGCCCAGACAAAGAATTTAATTCATACCTAGTTATAGGTAGATTACTCTTGATTGAACAAAGGCAGAGAAGAGGAGAAAGCAGGAAAATACGAAGAAATAATGGTAATGAAAGTGAGAGAAAGAAGAAAATAAATATTTCTAAGAAGGGCATAGTCAGGGACCAGAATGTGATGGTAGCATTTGCTGGCTCTCCCTGTTCTGTCTATTTGGCTGTCTACTCTGTGGCCACCCTTAAGCAGTTTTGGAAGAATAGCATTCTTCCTTAACTTCATCTTCAGGTGGTCTCTATGCACCTGGAAGCTAGGGAGAGGAACAGGGAGAGGTGTCAGTGGGCCTGGTGCCCTGTGGCTGCCATCCGGCCTTGTTCCCGACCCCTCCCTGCCCTTACCTCTGTGTGCTGCTGCTTGATAACCCTTCTCCTTTGCAGAGGTCAAAGGATGCTACTGCTGTTACATCTGGGAACTAGCTGGACATCTCCCTGATTCTTACCTCTGAGCCTTCATGGCCTCCTTTTTATAGTCTTTTTAATTTTCCCCCCAATAGGTGGTTTTATCATTAAAATAAATATGGGAATAACTGACCTTCAGCAAGCCTTGCCTGTGATCATGGCTGTGTTCTAAATGCTTCTGTAGATTAGCCCTCCGAGTAAAACTGGGAGTGGTGGGGTGTTATTTCTAGTGTACAGACAAGAAACTAGAACACGGAGAGCTTGAGTAACCTCTCCAAATCACAGAGAGATAGGATTTGAATCCAGGCTGTCTGAACCCAAGGGTTGGATCAGGGAATACTCTTTTGTTTGTTTGTTTTGAGTCACAGTCTCACTTTCTCACCCTTGGTAGAGTGCTATGGCGTTACAGCTCACAACAACTTCAAACTCTTGGACTCAGGCAATTCTCTTGTCTCAGCCTCTGGAGTAACTGGGACTACAGGTATCCGTGACAACACCTGGCTATTTTTAGAGACGGGGGTCTCGCTCTTGCTCAGACTGGCCTTGAACCTGTGAGCTCAGGCAGTCCACCCACCTCAGCCTCCCAGAGTGTTGTGATTACAAGTGTTAGCCACCATGCCTGGCCCCTGGGTTTCAGCTTTTACTGCGTGGCACAGAATGCAGACCCTGGGTTCTGCAAGCGGGGTAGGTGTGGACTGAGGCCCAGGGACAGGAGGAAGGGGCAGAGGGGCACCTTGGCTGCTGGTGTCTCCGCCCTGTAGTTACTTCTCTTTCCATCCGGGAAGCCATTTCTCAGGAGAGGTTTGCCCGGAATGGAGGTGTGGACAGTACACGTACACCATCCCCATTCCCATCTGCCATTTGTTTTTTAACTTTATGCTGGTCTTTTTTGAAATAAAATAGTTTTTATTGTTACATAATGGTGCCTATTGAACCTTTCGGTAATGGTTTCTGCCTATGGTGTCATGCTTTGAGAGGGGCTGGTTTCTAGTGAGTGCTGTGTTGTGTGGTTGGTAAAATCCATCACTGGTTACTTTTAGATCATAAGCGGTGTTTACTCTGAGTTTCTGCTTTCAGTCTTTTGTATTAGAGTTCCACTTTGAGCCCAACGACTACTTTACCAACTCAGTCCTGACAAAAACATACAAGATGAAGTCAGAGCCAGATAAGGCCGACCCCTTTTCCTTTGAAGGTCCTGAAATCGTTGACTGTGATGGGTAAGAAAATGTTGTCATTCTAACTTATTTTTTTGAAGGAAAAGCATGTGATTTTAGAATCTGACAGGTAAGCCAGAAATTAGGAGTAAAGTAAAATGTTTTGAATTTGCTTAAAAGCATGGTAGACAAGGATTCAAATTAGTCTTCAAGTTTAGGAATGCTTGCGGTACAGAAGAACTTGGACATGACAGCCAAAGCTAGAAAACAGTATGGCATGGTTACAGATGCAAAGCTGTGGGCTAGTGCCTGCTTTCTATTTTAATAAGAAGATTGGGTTCTCTGGACACCATAAATTGAAGTTCTTAAAATTGAAGTGGAAACGTTAACTTAACCTTTCTCCAGTTTGTCCTCGCTTATGTACCTTGAGAATTCAGGTAAGTCACTGAGTGACTTCAAATGTGCTCTGCACAGGGCGCAGGTGAGGTATTCTTGTGCAGACTCGACCAGGCTTTACTGCAGAAAGCACATTTCAGAGTCCTTATGAAATGTCTTAGGAAAATAATGCCATTGTTTCAGAAGTCTGAAGCTTGAGTTAGTGATCACACCCAGGATGAAGGAGGACCAGCCATTTCTTTTTTGCCAGCTTTTGGATGAATTTTATTTATAGGCCTTTGCAGTACTTCGTTTGAGGATTGGTTTTATTAATATTTCCAGGTTTAGCATAGAGCTCTCTTGTTTCCTATTCACGTATGTGATTGGATCTTTCTTGTGGAGTGTGTGTTCGTGACAATTGTCGTGTCCCCATAGATGTACTATTGACTGGAAAAAAGGAAAGAATGTTACAGTCAAAACCATCAAGAAAAAGCAGAAGCACAAGGGTCGAGGCACCGTGAGAACGATTACTAAACAAGTACCCAATGAGTCGTTTTTCAACTTCTTCAATCCACTGAAAGGTAAGTTAGTTGGGGTGTTAGAATTGTATAAAATAATTTCTTTACATAATGCATTCTTAGTGATCTCTCCAAGAACCGAGTCCTGTTCTTGGGTGTCATCACTAGAGGAATACGCACATGTCCAGGACCTTTGGGTTAGGCACATTTTCTAAGTTGGAACTGGGACAGCTCGAGTAGGAGTGTCACCTTCCACAGGAAAGGGAAGAGCCTTGCTTGTTTGCTTGGCTGTTGTGTTGCCTAGACAAAAACTTGAAGCTCTATTTTAAGAAAAACCAAGAGGAGGAGGAGTCCCTGGCCCCGGCTACTTTCTGGCCTGCTGTTGGAGCAGCCCTGCCTCCCAGCAGCATCTCTACTGCTCTGTTGTGCTGCCGGTTCCGTATGTCCAGCGCTGGTTACACTGGTTATAGTTGCACAGCTTTTGAGTCATCTTTTCAATTCCCTTTTCTCATGAATTAGGTATAATTTGATAGCTCACAGGTTTTTTGGAACTAATACTGATAAGCACAAGTAGTTGGATTTCCATTTATTATTATTATTTTTTTCTTAGAGACAGAGTCTTACTCTTTCACCTTTAGAGCGCGGTGGCATCACAGCTCACAGCAACCTCCAACTCCTGGGCTTGGGCGATTCTCTTGCCTCAGCCTCCTGAGTAGCTGGGACTATAGGCGCCCACCACAATGCCTGGCTATTTTTTGTTGCAGTTTGGCTAGGGCCGGGTTCAAACCTGCCACCCTCTGTGTATGGGGCCAGCACCTTACCTATTGAGCCATAGGCACTGCTCTATTATTACTTTTTTTTTTTTTAGAAACAGAGCCTTACTTTATCGCCCTTAGTAGAATGCCATGGCGTCACACAGCTCACAGCAACCTCCAACTCATGGGCTTAGGCTGTTCTCTTGCCTCAGCCTCCCAAGTAGCTGGGACTACAGGCACCCACCACAATGTGCAGGTATTTTTTGTTGTTGTTGCAGTTTGTCCAGGGCTGGGTTTGAACCCGCTGGTGCCCTACCCACTGAACCACAGGCACCACCCTGGATTTCCATTTTTGAAAGACACGGGCAGAATTATAGTTGGGAAGCTGTTTTATATGTGTCTATGTGTGTTTGAGACAGTTTCACTTTGTTACCCTGGGTAGAGTGCTGTGGCATCATCGCTTTCTGCAACCTCAAGATATTGGGCTTCTGTGATCATCTTGCCTCAGGCTCCCAAGTGGCTAGGATTGTATGTGCCTGTCACAACACCTGGCTATTTTTAGAGATGAGGTCTCTCTCTGGCTCAGGCTGGTCTTGAACCTGTGTACTTAGGCGGTCCACCCCACTCTGCCTCCCAGAGTGCAGTAATTTTCTAATCATGAGAGAATATGAAGGTCAGACTATTTGGCAGTGTTTTTTTGTTTTTTGAGACCGTCTCAAACTATCGCCCTGGGTAGAGTGCTGTGGCATCATAGCTCAAGCCATCCTCTTCCCTCAGTTTTTCTATTTTTATAGAGACGGGGGGGTGGGAGGGAATCCTTGCTTTTTGCTCAGGCTGGTCTTGAACTCCTGAGCTCATGCAATCCACCAGCCTCAGCCTCTGGAGTGCTAGGATTACAGGTGTGAGCCACTGCGCCTGGCCTGCTTGGCAGTTTTACCATACCCATATGAAGCAAAAACATTCTCTATTTTGCATGAGCAAAAACATACTTTGAAGTCAGGTGCAGCTCACCAGTGAATGGCTGTTGTTTGGGTGTGCAGCCACAGGGTGGTGCTGTTCTTGAGTCTGTGTGCTTCATGCTCTGGCTTTGTCTCTGAGCTTAGCCCCCTACTCCCCATTTATCAAGCTGCCCTCATGGTTGGGTTCGTTACCTTTTATCATAGTGGCTGTTTTCTGTTTAGGGGCTTTTTCTTTTTTTTTGAGGCAGGGTCTTGCTCTTTTGCCCAGGCTTCAGTGCCATAGCACTGTAGCTCACAGTAGCCTCAGAAATTCCTGGGCTCACACAATCCTCCTGCCTTAGCCTCCTGAGTAGCTGGACCTATAGGTGCCTGCCGCAATACCTAGCTAATTGTGTTCTGTGATTTGACTTTAAACCTAAAAGATAAAAGTGTGTGTTGGTTTGGGGATGAGAGTAGCCATGAATTTAGTTCTTAAATTTCCTTTTTTGGGAAGATCCTTTTTAGAAATTTGTATTGGGCATCCTTCACCATAAAGCAGAGGGGCTTAGATTCCTGGAATCAATGGCTTTGTGGGAAGCTTTCTTAAAACTGATTTTAAAATAATCTTCATAATAGGCTCAGTGCCTGTAGCACAGTGGTTACTGTACCAGCCACATACACCGAGGGTGGTAGGTTCAAACCCAGCCTGGGCCTGTCCAACAGTAATGACAACTACACAAAAAAATAGCCAGGTGTTGTGGCAGGCACCTGAAGTCCCAGCTATTTGGGAGGCTAAGTTGAAAGAATTGCTTAAGCCCAAGAGTTTTGAGGTTGCTGTGAGCTGTAATGCCAATGCACTCTACTGAGGGTGACATAATCTCAAAAAAAAGATCTTTACAATAAAAATGGAATTGATAGGAGACTCAAGGGAATTTTTTTTTTTTTTTTATTTTGAGGCAGGGTCTGAAGCTGTCGCCGTAGGTAGAGTGCTCTGATGTCACAGCTCACAGTAACCTCCAACTCCCCACTCTTGGGTTTAAGTAATTCTCTTGCCTCAGCCTCCCAAGTAGCTGGGACTATAGGTGCCCACCATAGCGCCTGGCTATTTTTTGGTTGTAGTTGTCATTATTGTTTGGCAGACCCGGGCTGGATACAAACCTACCATCTCTGGTGTATGTGCCCTAGCCACTGAGCTACAGGAACTGAGGCAGACTCGAGGGAATTTTAGAGTAATTTTTTGTTTTCTAAAAATGTTCTATGATGTGATGGTTGCACAACTCTAAAACCAGAGTACTAGAAGTTAAAGCGGGTGCATTTTATGGGGACTTCACATGCCTGCCATGAAGCCCAAATTACTGCTGTTTTTAAAAGTAAATAAACAGGACAGCGCCTGTGGCTCAAAGGAGTAGGTGGTAGGCCCACCATATGCCAGAGGTGGTGGGTTCAAACCCAGCCCCAGCCAAAAACTGCAAAAAAAAAAAAAAAAAAGTAAATAAACACATGGCGTGCTATGCAGAGGAATAGAGAATGGGAGGAGGGGAGTGATGAGTTGAGTAGTCAAGACAAAGCAGAATTGATGACTTTTGTTTTTTATTACAATGGAAGAAACACTGGAGAGCTAGTCTAGCTACCCCTCTGTCCTTAAACCTGCAAAACAGTCTAGAACGTGGGTGTGAGAGTCCTGTGCTGACTCATGACCCACTGGGCTAGAGTCCTCTTAGGAAAAGGCTGGTCAGGCCTTGCCCTAAACCAGTGCCCTAAGTCCCCGGGCGATATAGGCCTGTATATGTGTAAGGACTCTCCTCTGTCTCCTGCATCCTTACACAGTTTTGCAGGGCTTACGGTAAATCAGCTCAAGCTCACTGAATGGCCACAGGCCGGGCTGTTTGATACGCCTTTGCTCCTGTTAATGCTTTAGACTTCTCTAAACATTTTTCTCAAACTTGTTCATAAACAAGTGAGGGTGCCAGCCCAGGGCGTATGGTCAAGGTGTAGCGTGTGACCAAGCTGGGGCCCACCTCGTGAGGTGGGAAGGGAATTTGTGAAGTGGGAATAAGGAGGCAATTTCTAGTGAACAGCCTTGAGCTTAAAAGGTTCCATTTTGTCCCCCAAGAGCTTCCTCCTGTGTGGACTTTAAAGATGGTTTTGGTTGTCATTGTTATGTAAATGCGGTTTTTTGTCTTTTCTTTTTCTAGCATCTGGTGATGGAGAATCACTGGTAAGATTGTGTTGTTAAGTCTTGCTTTCCTGTGGAGTCTTTATTTCCTGACTGGCTGCCTACTTTCCTTTAATTTATCCTTTCCCCAAAGCCCCAGGGTTGGGGTTAATTTGAAGTCATCACACTTGGAGTTGAGAAGAGTGTCTGTTTGCTGTGTCTGCTCTAGTAGCAGACATTTAGCACTTTAACCCTGCTTGTTTCACATGTCTGGGGCTCTGGCACCCCGATCTGCGTGACACCTGGGTGAGCCATTTTGCTTTAGTTGTTCTTTAAAGCTACTTCATGTCACTTTTGAGTGGCTTTGAATATGTAGTGACTCTTACCCAGAGTGCAAGAGTTTGGTGTTTTAAGTCAGGTAAATCAAAAATAAGGGGTCAAGTATGGGAGAGGGTGGTTGAGAGCATGTTTTTATCCCATTAAAATGAGTTAACATGGAGGTTTTTCCTTCTCAGGATGAAGATTCTGAATTCACACTGGCCTCTGATTTTGAAATCGGACACTTCTTCCGTGAGAGGATTGTCCCAAGGGCAGTGCTTTACTTCACTGGGGAGGCCATTGAGGATGATGACAATGTACGAGGCTGGGGATGTGGGGGGTGGGGGTGGGGTTACTGCCCTGGGAGCCTACCTCTATGGGTGCAGAGTAGTCCTGAACTGTGGCTTGGGAAGCCCTGAATTCTGAGGGGTTTTTTTATGTCAGCAACCAGATGCCATAGTCCAAGCTGCTGTCCTGTGTTTGTGGGGGAGTAGACTAGGGAGAGGGAACTGTGGACACCTGCTACCTCTGTGGGCCCCATCTAGTGCCGTGCCTTACAGTGCCCTCCAGAGACCCAGCACCTCACCCATGTTCCACATGAGATCTGTAAGCGTTTGGAAACGTCTCACCATGAGGAAGATCTCTTTCGTCAAAGTCTGGCCACATTAAATGATTACCAATAGTGGGCACATGATACCCTTTCAGCCCAAAAGAAATAGAAACCCATGTTCCATAAGAAAATAGTGGGACTAGGTGTGTCCCTTTTCTGTCTGGACTTCAGAGAAACTGGCTCTTCCCTGGTCAGGACTTGTGGAAGCACAGCCCTGAGGATAGCTTATTAGCAAACTGCATCACAGCAAAGGCTCAGGTTGCCACAAATCTTGTTCTGTGAAAAATAAAGTTGCTGTATTGTTGGAAGTGTGTTTTAGATCGTCTCCACGTGCTTGTAGAGCTCTTAGGTCTTATGGCTGCATTCATTCTCAAGTCTGGGCTTCAGCTGGGGGTTGGGGGGCTGCAGGAGCTTGAGCAGGGTTGAGGGGGCTACCTCTGAGGCAGTGGAGGCCTGCTTTTCTTCATGCCTCTCCCCTCATGCTGAATTCGCTTAATGGGGAAAATGTGCTTGTCTACTGTGAGGTCTTAGACTACTTGTCTGACTTCTAACACACAGTTTGCTCCCATGTACCCAGGGTGAGAGATGATCAGGGGAAGATGGCAGGGAGACATGCATGGCTAGTGTAGACTGTAGTTGCTGAGACTTAAGTTTTACAGATTCTAGAGCAGTACTTTCCAGTAGAACGTTCTCTGATGATAGAACTGTCTTCTGATGATAAAACTGTCTTCCATCTGCCCTGTCCATTACAGTAAGACTGACTGCATGTGCCACTTGAGGGCTTGAAATGTGACTTGCTGAGACTGAGGAACTGAAGGTTTCAGTTGAAGTTTAGTTAGTTAAGGGCTAGTGGGTAACACATTGGAAAGCTCATCTCTAGACCAGTGGTCTTGAAACTTTTTTGATCATACACCCATTGACTTAAAAAGATTTGACTATGCCACGTGTGCTTATTTATTTATTTGTGACCTGTGTGATGTCAGTGCTGCTGGTGACACCTCGGTGTATTTGTCTGTAGTAAATGTGCAATTGTTCATGTGATACATTCAGTGCATTCAGGGCTATCCAGCCTGGGGCTGATGGGCCGAGGGTGGATTATGTGAGGACTTTTTTGCTTATCTGTGGTGGTGGCTATTGTAAAAATTATGCATGGACTTTTCCCCACTCCACTCATTAGCTTTTGTTAGTGTTTGTGTATTTAACGTGTGGCCCAAGGCAGCTCTTCTTCCACTGTGGCCCAGGGAAGCCCAAAGGTTGGACACCACTGGAAGTGTGGACTCAAATGAGACTGCTAAGACTTGAGTCCCAATTCTGCCCCGTAATAGCTGTGTGTCTTTGTGTCTCAGTTTCTTTCTCTGAAATTGAGCTGTTGGGAAAGTCTCTAGTAGTCATAGAACCGTGATTCTACTAGTCATAGAATAGCTTCTGGCACAGAGTAGTTACAGTGTTGGTGTACGCCGGTATAGAATGTATTTATTTTCACTAATGCTGGGGGGCATTGTGAACCACATACCATAATTGGAAGTTGTTGGAGGAGGAAGTGACTGTCGGAGCCCTGGCCCTGCCTCTTCGAGCTCCTGCACCAGGGCAGGTATCTGGAGGGTGAAGTACTGTGCTTGGAACCTTAAAGAATAGACACTTGTGCGAGTTTGAGGCTAGTTCTGATCTGACCCAAAATGTAAGACTTGAAGTCTTTCCCTATCTCAGGACAGCTGGGATACTTAGAATGGAAGGGTGCTTCTTAGGGGTTAGGTCCCATCCTGCTGCTATGGAGGACTGGGAGCCACCATCTGAGCTGAGTTGGTGAGATCCTGCAGAGTTCCACTCACACTGTATCTAAGGAATATGTATGTGTGGGCTCAAAAAAAGGGGAAATGTTGGTGGCACCTATAGCTCAAGTGGCTAAGGCACCAGCCATATACACCAGAGCTGGCGGGTTTGAATCTGGCCCGGGCCTGCCAAATAATAACAACTACAACAAAAAAATAGGTGGGTGTTGTGGCGGGTGTCTGTAGTCCCAGCTACTTGGGAGGCTGAGGCAAGAGTATCGCTTAAGCCCAGGAGTTGGGGGTTGCTGTGAGCTGTGATGCCAAGGCACTCTATCCAGGGTGATAGCTTGAGGCTTTGTCTCAAAAAAAGAGGGGGAGGGAGGAAATGTTTATAAATGAAACTAGACTTTCATGTGCCTTGGTTATGCCACCAGTAGTGACAAGGTTTATTTTTCTTTTGGTTTAAGTCTTATGTTCAAAAACGTCTGTCCAGTGATATCTTTGGGTAAAAGAGAATTTGATTCCAGACCAACCAACTGTGATGGTGGAAGTTCTTTGAGTACTTAGGTTTTGACTTATTTGGTTGATTAAACGTCAAAGTTTTTTTTGTTTGTTTTTGAGACAGAGCCGCAAGCTGTCCTCCTGGGTAGAATGCCATAGCATCACAGCTGACAGCAACCTCCAACTCCTGGGCTCAAATGAGTCTCCTGCCTCAGCCTCCCAAGTAGCTGGGACCACAGGTGCCTGCCACAACGCCTGGCTATTTTTTGGTTGCAGCCATCATTGTTGTTTGGCAGGCCCAGGCTGGATTTGAACCTGCCACCATAGGTGTATGTGGCTGGCGCCTTAGCCACTTGAGCCACGGGTGCCGAGCCAAATGTCTAAGTTTTAATATATTTCTACTAAAGTTTCTCTTCCTCTTTAAGGGATGTAAAATGCCCAGATTCCTGCATGCAATATTATGCTACAAATTCTTTAGTTTGCAGAATTCTTCTTTTGCCTGTGCCAGTCTGCCTGCAGGTAGTCAGAGCAGAGCTGTGGTACCATTTTCCCAGTGCATGGCCAGGCTGACCGCCTACTTTGTCCACTTATACTACTTCTTACTCCTTATTTTGAGGGATGTTTAGGCAATGTCTCCGGCATCTTCACAAGTATCCTCAGCCAGGTCCACGGTGTTTGTGTCCAGAAGCCCTTTGCAGCTCTCTGCCTCTGGGGAAGTTGGACTGGGGCTACCTGCCCAGGCAGCCAGTGAACTCTCTTTAGCCTGATGAGGGAAAAACTCAGTGGAGCTGATGTCCTAGGGAGGGCTGCTGTCCTGTTTTACAAACCTATAAATGTTTTCTGTTTTCTTTCAGTTTGAAGAGGGTGAAGAAGGAGAAGAGGAGGTAAGAGATAAGTTATATGAAACATTCCATGAAGTTGAATTTTCTTGGGCTTTCTGTGCTTGAAGGATGTGAAATCATAGGACCATGTCACACCCATTTCGTGTGAAGTTGCTTTTGACTCTCTAACAGAGCAAGTGGTATAGCTATGTCCAACCATAGCTTCTGACCCTGCAGTTGACTCATGAAAATATATCTTAGAACAAAGTCTTTTAACAAATCAAATCTACTTTTGCAGAAATGTGTTTATTTTGGGGTAATCTGTGAGAACAGAAAGATACCCAGAAATAATTTAAGTGTCCAAAGGAAGCAGTATAATCATTTATGGATAGCAATAAGTGATTTCCTTCTAAGTTGGAGTATTGTTTTCATTTGTTTGGATAGTAAACTCCATAAGAATTTAAATGTTGGGTGGTGCCCATAACTCAGTGGTAATGGCACCAGCCACATATATTGGGGCTGGTGGGTTCGAGCCTAGCCTGGGCCTGCTAAACAACAATGACAACTGCAACAAAAAAGCAGCCAGGCATTGTGGCGAGCACCTATGGTCCCAACTGCTTGGGAGGCTAAGGCAAGAGAATTACTTGAGCCTCAGAGTTAGAGGTTTCTGTGAGCTGTGATGCCATGGCACTCTACTGAGGGGGTAACATAATAAAACTCTGTCTCAAAAAAAAAAAAAAGAGAGAATTTAAAATGTTGTCTTTCCAGCTAATTTTTACTCTCTGTATTTAATAATATAGGAATTAGAAGGTGACGAGGAGGGAGAAGATGAGGATGATGCCGAAATTAACCCCAAGGTTAGTCATTTGGGGGCTCTCCAAACTTATGTCTGCTGCACTGTGAGACTTTTTTAAATGTTCCCACTTTGAGGCAGTGGTACTAAGAACATGTATTCATTTTTCTCTAATAGAACATTTAAACTATAGCAGAAAAATACTGGAATGAAGAGCTGCTCAGACATCTTATGATTTGAGTTGTAAATATTCAGTTAAATGCTTTTTCATCTTTCTTAAGCTGTATCTTACATAGACTAATTCAATAGAGCAACATTATTTTTTAGATCTTTAATTTTTTTAAGGTAAGGTGATGATTTAATGGCACCATATTTTTGCGTGTGTTTTAGAAAAGGTGCAAAGAAGCTTGGGGGGGGGGCAGGTGCAGTGGCTCATGCCTGTAATCCTAGCACTCTGGGAGGCTGAGATGGGGGGATTGCTTTAGCTCATGAGTTCCAGATCAGCCAGAGTAAAATAGACCCTGTCTCTACTAAAAATAGGGAAACTGAGGCAAGAGAATTGCTTGAGCCCAAGAGTTGGAGGTTGCTGTGATCTATGATGCCACGGCACTCTACCCACGGCAACAGCTGGAGACTCTGTCTCAAAAAAAAAAAAAAAAAAAAAGGCTTGAGGGTTCATGTATAGAAAAATAAAATTAAATAGAATTGTAGGCGTCATTTTACAATTGACAGTTGCACTTGGGCTGAGAATCCATAGATGTGTCTGGATAGCTCATGAAGCTTATATAATCCAGAATAAATTGAGAAGATTTGCTAAAGAAAAATGAGTGGCCAACCCCCTTAACTTTATCTGGGTTTTTTTTTTTTTTTTTTTTTGAGGTAGGTTCTCACTGTATTTCCTAGGCCGGTGTCAAGCTCCTGGGCTCAGATGCCCTCTCAGCCTCCTGAGTGGCAGGACTAGAGCGTGACACTGGACCTGGCTGATTAACCTATGAATTTGAATTTTTGTTTATAGTCTCAGAATAAAGGTACTTTTGACATTTGACGCATACTTAAAATCCTTATTTGCTTTAATATAGTCCAGAACTGCAGTAAAAATTTGGTTTTTCTAAAGCATATAATTTACAGCTTACCTGCATCTTAGAATTAAATATATCATGGGCTGTCAGAATACTGACATTAGGACGTTTTTGTAATTTGTACCTCTGTGTGACTAGATGTTTTTCTGTTCGTTTTACCTTTGTTTTTGCCCACAGTGAAATGTGCCCTAAAAGCTGTCTGTGTAACAACCTGGCTCTGTGATTAGTTGCTTACACCGGCTATTTCCATAAATGCACGCTCATGATCGTCATTCCTTCAGGGCTAGGATAGGAGAAGAGCTTAAAACTTTTTAGAATGTGTCTTCTAAATACTACTATGGGAATAGGCTCCTGGAATTGCTCACCATCTGGAGGTTGGCCTGTTGATCCTGGGGTGACTGGACTGAAAGACTGTGTTTAGCAGGTGGTGGTGGGTGTGGAGCCTACAAAGTGCAGGGCCCAGGGTTATGGGGGAGGCTGGGTTGTCGGTCAGTGTACAGTGTTAGTGAGTGTCTGGTGGCCAGGTGTACTGGGCTGTGTTTTCTGCCCCGTGGGCACTGAGGGGCCATGTTTGCAGTGGTGGTGGTGAATGCAGGGCTTGGAACTGTTTGTAGTGTCTACTCCGTAGGTGTCAGCACACCATTGGCCACTGTGTGCCTTGCTTGTCTCACTGGCTTCTCCCTGTGCTCTGTGCTTCAGTTTCTTCTTTTCCCTGTGTCCGTCCTGCTCCATCTGTCGCCTTGCAGAGCCCTGTCTCCTTTCACTCCCACTTTTCCCAAAGAGTGCTCTCACCAGGTAACTGCAGATAACTTAGTGAACTGCACATACAAGCCCTTGGGACGCCTTTGTTTGTTTTGTTGTTTGGGGGTGGGGGAGAATAACTAAAAATGTTTGGGGCGAAGCTGCTGTCCCTTTATGTGCCCCTCTCCAAAATCACTGGCTGTGTTTGTGTCTGTACGAGCAAAAGAAAATGAGAAAGGGAAGACGGTTTGGTGCTGAGGACCGTCCTGTGAGTGCAGAGAATGTTTCCTGACCTTTTTGAAGCTCTAAGATGTGGTTGTTGAAGTTGCTTATTCCAAGTTCAGTATTTTGCAGCCCTTTTGTATCATGAGAAATTGTGGCTGTTTCCTCCTGTATAATTTTGTGAGTTTTATTTTATTTTATGCTGACAGTTCCTTTCAATTTTTTTCCCCCATTTAGGTGTAATTTTTGTCTATTAATCATTCATACGTTTCTAGGTAAGGTGGAATTCCATTCATACCTAACTTCCAAACTAATGATCTATACTTTGTACCATGCATTGTTTTGATTTTGAATAAAGAGGAAGTTGCTATCCAGGCACACGCAGTATAGGTTTGACATAGGGCTTTTTAAAGAACAATATTTTCACACAAGTGTCTGTGTACTTTGGAAACCAATGAGCAAAAACTAGATTTGCTCTTGATTTCTGAACCATATTCCTTGCTAACCAAGTAGCAAAGATACAACTCGGGGGATATTTTCATTGAAGGTGCTGCTTTCCAGAAGGAAGACAGAACAGGAGGGCTCTTGGAGGTCAGTGGCTTGTAGGGTGGCACCCATAACTCACCACAGACAGGAAGCCCTCTGGGGACTATCAAGCACTTAGCTGTCCCCAGCCCTGCTGGCCACGCCACAGCAGGATCAGACGCACTCTGGCAGCAGAATGGGCCCAGTGTGATTTATTAGAATGTGTCCGTCTGGTGACTGCACTGTTTGAATTTAGGTGATGTTCAGACCTATAGTCATAAAAGGAGTTAAATGAACTTGCAGTGTGCCAGAAGTTTTTATCTAAAAAGTTTTGGTGTTGGCTAGAAAGAGTGGTGTTGTAAGGTTGGCAGAAAGTGTTCTGACTGAAAATTATGACACTGTAGATGACAGTGAGTGCAGTGAGCCTGGGGAGCTGCCATCCACCATGCCACCCTCAGTCCTCTGGCTCTGTGCTGGGATGAACCGGCAGCAGGCCATGGTAAGAGAGCAGCTTGCGTCAGGACAGTGGACACCAGTCTGTAATGGCATTGCCCAGAGTGGCAGCATGATCCTGGTAGTCCTTTGAGAGTTCAGTGCAGTGGTTCTCAACCTTCCTAATGCCTCGGCCCTTTAATACAGTTCCTGTGGGTCACGACCCACAGATTGAGAACTGTTGGTTTAGTGGCATCACCGGCCTGCCTTCCTCATATGCATCCCTCACAGAATGTGGGCAAGCACACAGGCACACCAGCCTCACAGAGTTGCTGGGACCTGCTGCAGCTGGCATTCAGCTGTGTAGTTGAGCATGTCTTCCAGAGCTAGGTCTAAGCACTTGTGTGTGTGTTGAAGATGATGTCCAGCTGCTGTGAGTTCCTGCTGTCCCCATGTCTGCAGAGCTCAGCCACTTTCCTCCCACCTGCACTCCCCGTCCCCAGGTACTCTGAAGGGAGTCTTCCGTGCATTGTCACCCACAAATATCTCAGCATTTTTCTCCCGAGGGAAGGGGCTCTTCTCTGCAGCACCACAGCCCACTCTTCCACCCCCAGGAATGGAAGCCCTGGGTCAGTGATCTGGTTTCTGCAGCAGAGAGACCTTGCCAGACACTTGGGCACTGGGGCTTCTGTTTCCCTAGAGAGGCTGTTGCTGTTCAGTAGCATGGCTTTGTACCCTTTCTCAGGTTAGTTATGATTAGTTAAAACCCCAACTTTAAATGGTTCTTTGAGAGACAAGGTTTTTGCAGTTATTTCTTTTTAAAATGCCAGCTCCCCCCTCCTGATAGGTTTGTAGTGACTAATGACCAAACCTGTGGAAATTTGTGACATGACAGGATGCTCTGGTTGCAGGGTTTTTTTTTTTTGACAGTTTTTGGCCAGGGCTGGGTTTGAACCTACCACCTTCGGCATATGGGGCCAGCATCCTACTCATTGATTGCAGTTTTATTTTGGCCTATATTACAGTGCACATTTATGAAATTCACTCTAAAACCCTCATCACCCAGTGCAGAATCTTCAGAGGGCTGAGTTAGTCTGAGCCTGGCAGGGATAGGGCCCCACACTCACCTGCCTGAAGGCTTTTCCAGCCACCCCTGTCTAGCAGTCTCTCTGTTTCAGTGAGGACTCTCTCTCTGTAAAGGTCTTCACCATCCTGGTTATTGGTTTTATTTAAAACAAATAGGTAGTACATTCTTTTATTAAAAATATGTATTACATCATTTATGCAATGCAGACTATATTTGTACAGGTTTGTACTGCTTGTCTAGGATGCCTGGGCGTCTGGGCGGGGAAGTGGTTGAGTCGTATTGCTGGTTGAGCATCTGCATCCCCCACTGAGCATCTCCTTTGAGCAACATGTCGGCACTCAAAAAGTTTGGGGCTTGGGAGTATCTCAGATCTGGGATTTGGGCTGTTCAACCTGTAACAGGATAAATTAGAAATACTGTCTTACACAGCATTGCGTGTGCCTTAAGTCTCTGACAGCCTCTCTCTTAGCCCTAGTTCTGCCCTTCACCCTGCAAAATCCATTCACTGTCCACCCCCGTTTCTCACCTTGTTCTTCTGGCCATGTGCATGCTGCAGTGCTCTGCACACACTGCTTATCCCACTTCCCACCTGGCTGTTCCTACCTGGGGCACTCCTACTCTCAGGCCAGCAGCTCTGTGCCCTCAACCACTGCCCCGGATGACCTCTGGGCCTATCCTCAGATGGCATGTTGACAGGACTTGTCAGCAGCTTTCTGACCAGGGTCTTGGTCAGCTTTATTATCTTGGGACCAGGGTCTTTGGGCAATGTATGGGGCAGTGGGGTACAGACAGGAGTCCTCCTCCCAGAGTGGCCTGCCAGGCTTATTCCTGGGCTCTTCCTCTTACACTTAAAATACAGAGCTTAGATCAGGTTCAAGGTTACTTGTTTTAAGTATTCTCTGTACATCTTATTTTTTCATCCCTTAAATGTGATTTTTCCGAAGAATGAATCACAGTCTCAGCTCATACCACACGAGGAGTCAGTGGTGTTACCCAGGTGCAGGCTTTTCCTGGACTCCTGGGGGCCAGCTTCTATTTAGGGTCACCTGTAATCTAAGCAGGCAGAAATCCTAGGTCACAGATGAGTAAACTTACTATCGGAAAGTACACGTATCAGTGAGATCATGGTCTGATTCCCAGGCTACTGCTGGTCTCCACACAGAATTTATGGAGTTGCTGAAAGTGGTTTAAAAGATATGAGATCTATACCTTAGATTGTATTGAAGTGAATCTGCTCTACGAGGAGAATGATACTTTGGATACCTTTACTGGGAGGATGGAATTTCCCACTTAGTGAGACCAGTAGGAGGAAGAGGGTGACTTGTTTGTAGAGCTCTGAGAAGCTCATTAGTAAAAATAGCAAAAGATTTCTCCCCAGGAACATCTGTCCTGGCCTACCCAAGGGCAGGTTGGCACCTCAGAGATTAGGACTGGCACAGGAGGGGGCAGAGTCTCCAGGTGTGGGCAGGAGCTTCTGAACCACCAGTTAATCTCTACAACCCCAAGGAGCCCCTGCCTTGTCCCTGAGCCCTTCTGTTGAATACACCATGAATGTGAATGCTTCACAAGCATGTCTTTAGGAACAGAGAAGGCAGCCTTTGCTGTGATTTTATCTTGGGAATTAGCTTTGTGTTTTGTCACTGTTAAAGTTCATTTGTGGTAGCTGTTTTTTCAATAAGAATGAATGAACTAATGTCTTGGTTTTCGTTGTTGATTGGAGATATGTGGTGAGTGATACTGGTTTTGTTCTCTCTACAAGTCTTGTTTTCTTTCATTAACAGAAAGAACCCAGCCAGCCAGCGGAATGCAAGCAGCAGTGAGAGGCGGGCCCTGCCATGGGTGGTCACCTCACATACTGCCTGTCAGGACTTGGCCCCCAGGCAGGGGCCTAGGTCCTGCTCACCATCCTGTCGACAGTGCTTATTACATCTAACTCGTTTTCAAGTGCATGATTTTCACTTTCACTTTTGCTTTTTCCTTATTTTGCTTAACTTGTACAGTGGCAACTGAAATGCATTTCAGAAGTAGGAGGTTTAGTTCCAGCACCCTCTACAGCCTTGGTGCCTGCAGCTCTGGACTTCCTTAGGCCCTGCCCTTTGGGAGGGCCCCTAGACCACATGGGGTGGACTGGGAGGTCATTCTGCTAAAGGGCTGAGGTCTAGTGATGTCTGGGGCATCTAGAACCTCTTCTACCAGCCCTGTGGTCAGATAGACTCTTCCCTTCATTTGAAGAGACCCACATGCTATTCCAGCCACTTAACCTGCTGAGTGTGAGCTGCTTCTGCTATCGTGTTCTAATCATCTCAGAAGAGCCATGTAGAGTAAGGTCCTGTTCTCCTTAGGATGTTTTTTCCTTGTGTGTTTTTTTTTTCTAGGGGTGGGGGTGGGATTATGGCACACACCGACTCTGAGGCGAGCACTGCAGGGTCATCCTCGTATTTATTTATTCATCCATGCTGTGAGGACTTAGCACTCACAGTGTGGGTTATTCTCCCAACTTTGGAACATGTTGATGACTTGAGCAGGAAGATGTGCATCTCCTTACGGGAGGGAGGCCTGTGTAGAAGAAACAAGCTGCTTCCCGCTGCTGAAGGCCGGAGTTTGTTCTCATGACATGCAGACTTTGTGCTGCTGACGGGGAGCGCAGGTGTTGCTAGAGCGCCAGTGTCCTTCATTTTCCTGGAGAGGGCTAGACTGCCTGGCGCAGCTTTTCATTTCAGTGTAAGCGTCAAGTCTTGCTGTCTCAGTGGTTCCATTTCCAGCCCCATCATTTGTCCTGTCTTAAAAGCCTTGGGTGTGGCCTGACTGGTTGGCAGCTGGTATGGTAGGGTTTTGAGTGTGTGACAGTGGTCTCTGGTAGCTGGGACCACTGTGTCCACACTGTGACCAGGCATGTAGGACTGTGCTCAGCCTTACCTTGTAACACATTTGTAACTGAATACGGTGTTCTCAATTTGTACAGAATAGTTAGAATATTCTATTAAAGTTGTGAAACATGAAGCCAGTGCTGTGCTTTGTGGGGGATTCTGCTGGAAGGAGTGGGTAGGTAGGCGCCATGGTCTGCCCCTCAAAGATAAGGCTGCATGCCATCCAGGCCTTCTGCCCTGCCCTGGGTGTTGGTGGGTCCAGGACTTGTGGGCCTCTGCATGGGCCTCTGCTTGTTCTGTCTGTCCCTGCAGTTTTGAAAGCACACTCTGAGGAAGAGGCTGCCTGTGGCTGTTGGGCTTTCAGGCCTCTGCTCAGTGCTCAGTGCGGGCTCCTGTGCTGCAGAGTGTGGATGGGAGGTGTTTCTCATTTCTGGGTTTGTGCCCTGTGGGTCCAGAAGGCTTCCAGAGGGAAACTCCTACATAATAGCCCATGCTTCATCCTCCTGGTGCTTCTCTGATGCCCCTTCATCCCTACTGGGGGGAGCTCCGCCAAGAGATGCCTGCCAGTCCATTCTTTGTTTGACCGCCATGGAAGCCCAGTAGGGCAGCAGTGCTGAGGCTGGCTGGGCCTGCTGCCTCCAGCTCCCTTTGGCCTGCTTGGGAGCAGCAGGAAAGAAGTGCCTGGTGACCACAAGCAGACACAGAAATGGTCAGGTGCAGGCTTCGACGGGAACATGCTTCTGGTGTGCTCCAGGGTCTGTAGAGCCTTGGTGTCCATGCTATGTCTCTTTCTGTCACTTTGAGATGAGTATTACTCAGACCTAATGGTGCAAGTACCATTTCACAGTGACCTGTCCTCAGCTCCAGTGACAACAGCCCTGTGTGTTGCCCAGGACACCTCTTAGGAAGGGCTCTGTTCACTGCCTCCCTAGTGTGATCTCCTGGTTCCAGATTCTCCTGGAGCATTCAATATGAGCCTGTAGGTTATTAGATCAGAAATGATCGCACAGGATGGTGTGCTGGTGACTTCAGGGAATTTGCCAGAGCAGTTTGAGCACTGAGGGCAGCCTGGCAATCAGCTGGCCCAGGCACAGCAGTGCTAGAGGGCTGTTGGACATCTCACTGGGAGGCAAATCCTGGGGGAACTGTCTTCCTGCAAGATTGGTAAGAAGAGCCTGATGGGACAAGTGAGTTCCTGCAGCCTCCATAGTAAGCAGTGTCACCTTGGACAGTGCACCTCTTCCCAGTCCTGAGGTGCAGCTGCCACCAATGCTGGCCTCTAGCTCTGCCTGTCTGGCTGCTCCTGTATCCCAGCTGACAACCTGGACAGCTTTGTGCTGGAGCATGGCGGAAGGGTTCAATGTCCAGTCCTCCCCAGCCCAGGCCCCCATGGTACTCCTTTCCAAGGGTCCTCACCATTCCTGGTGGGTATTCAGAGCCACCTCTCACCACTCCCTGTGGCACCTGCTGCCCCTGCCCTCCTTGTGGCCTTCAGCTTGAGCCAGCCCCTGGTTTGGTTCCTCTCAGAGAAGCGAGACACTCAGAACCAGGACAAAACTGGCCATGCAAACCTGTTGCCTCAGCTACTTGGGAGACATGCCCGGGGGATCACTTGAGGCTGAGAATTCAAGACCAACCTGGGCAACATAGTAAGCCCCTATCTCAAGTAAGCAATCTCCAGAACTGAGTCAGGGCCCAGCAGGCCTCTGGGCTTCCTCTTGGGCCTGGGGAAGGAGGGATGGTCATGCACCCTGGCAGGCAGATGGGAGGCCAGGCCTGGTGCCTGGGCTGCTTTTGTGCCCCCTAGACCTGTGCTCAGTGGTTTCAGTGCTCCCCTCACCACCAGCAGTTAGAAGTGGGTGGTGGCAGTGGCTGTATGTCTGCAGAGGGGGGAACACTGGACAAGGAGAGAATGGGAGATGACCCAGCAAGCAAATGTCCTGCTGCTATATGAAGTTCTAGAACTTACCACAGGACAGTGGCTGCCTGCCAGGGATCTGCAGGACAGAGGTGGTCAAGGAACTGGGTGGGGGGTGGAGGACGCTGAGTGTCCATTCGTCACCTCCAAGAACCTCTTCACATGGGTGTATTTGGTTGTCTGTAAATTAGATGTCATTGAAACTTAGGTTTCAAAAGGTTTCCGAAATAGGATGATTCCACTTGAAACTGGGTTTCCCCTGGAGGAGTTCAGGATCTGTACCCCCACCCCTGCCCAGCTGTCTCCGGCAGGACCCTTGCCCACATTGCCTGGTGGTGGTGTGTCCCTGCCCTGGCCGGTCTGCTCCACTGGGGTGAGACACTGTTTATGTGGGATGAAGGCTTTCCTCGATCTCCTCCCCATGGCCCGGGGCCCCTTTCTCCAGGTCTTAGGTCCAGAGCTTCTTGCCACCACAAACGTCCCTTAGAGTGCCCTAGGCCTGGCCCCCAACTTTTGTCACTACCAGCATCAGATCTTGCCCCCAAGGTGGGAGGGCAGCACCAATGGGCAGCAGCCAGGAGTTGGGGAGCCCTTGGCCTGGCAGCCCATCCAGGCACACACTGGGTGCTCATGCTAACCTCTGACCTGCCCTGGCATGTCCCTCTCTGTGAGCCAGACTGGTTTGTGTTTGGATGTCCCCTGTTGCGCACTGGGTACTGAGCCCTGAGATGGGACTCAGGTGGACTGACAATCAGCTGACCCCTGCAAGGGAGTGGCCAGGGGCAGGAGGTCTGAGAAGTGACTGACTACCCATGAGGTGACCACCTCCAGCCACAGATCCCTGAGGGAGCTGGCTCCTCACCAGCTGACGGTGGACTTTGACCCCTGCCCTTCAGAGCAGGTGACTTCCCAGCTTCCTCTAGAAGCCGGCAACCTGCCCATTGGGTTTCCACCCACCAGGCAGCACTGGCAGGCAGTAGCCCTGTGGCAGGGTCTCCAGGACCCCTCAGGCGGGCCCTGGGTGAGCTTTCAATCCCACCAAGTTTGATAACATTTTCTAGGCACGTTGTGCCCTGGGACCTTCCCCACTGGAAATGAAGGGTCCTGCCCTAGATCACACAAGGCTGATGAGCTCAGCCAGGTTCCCACTAGACCATTGACCAGAAGACTCTTGAGCCTTCCTGGGCCAGCAGGAGGGTAAAACTGGACACACCCTGCTGAGGCTGAGTCACCTTGGTGTGCCTGGGCAGTAGCCTTGCCCCCACTGTCAGTCACTGGCCCAGCCTGGCTATGCTGACTCACAGCTCTCTTTGGGCGGTGGCCGGATGTTACTTTCCATGGCAACCTGACAGGCATGTCTGGGGCCAGAGACACAGGCGGGCACACCTGTTCCAGCACTCCTGCGGGCAGCCCCATACAGGTGCCCCTCACTCAGGAATCCTGTGGTGTCAACCACGTTCCCAACCTTCAGGGCTCTCAGTTTCTGCCCTTTAACACATGGAGAGGCTACACCACAGGCTCTCCAAACCACAGGCTGCCTATGTTGATGCCCGCCCACCTTCAAGCCAGTGCCCATGCCTCAGCAAACCAGAGGGGATAGGTCCCTGGGCACAGGTGCAGGGGCCACGAGGGAGTACCTGGGAGGGCTCTGGGCCTCCACCTGCCCTGTTTCCAGCACTCGGGGAACCCTTGGGTAACCCAGGAAGAACTCCTCTTAGGAGCTTCAGTCACCCTTCTGCTACATGAGATTACATGCACAGGTTTCAGGAACTAGGACGTGGACGTGCCTTTTGGGGTCCGCCAGCCCACTAAAGGAGCTTTTCAGGCAGACAAGCCCATGGGAAGTGGTCATACCGAGTAGCTGGAGAGAAGGGCAGGCCCACCAGATGTGTGTAGAGATGACTCCTGTATTTGGCCACTATATTGGTGAAAACAGAAAATCAAAAAAACAAGTAGTTTCATTGTTGGTCCTGCTGAGGGGAGACAGGAACTTGCAGCTTTCAGGTGAGGTTCGGATGGGCAGGCCCACTGCTGGGCCCTTTTCTCCCAGTGACCACACTACCCACTAACCTAGCCACACCACCTCTTCATTGTCCTGGTGAAATGTTTGCTTATGTGTGTGAAGGAAGCGGTGCTTGTTATGATCAGGAGACAAGCCATGCAGTGTCCCCTAGTAGTGAGGAGATGTGGCTGGGACTTGGGAGCCAGGCTCATTTCCCTGCATGTGTAAGTACACTTCTAAATCGTGGTGGAGTACATGCAGCGTTAAGACCTGCCACCCTCGGGCGGCGCCTGTGGCTCAAAGGATAGGGTGCTGGCCCTATATGCCAGAGGTGGTGAAGACCTGCCGCCTTGGCCATCTGTGAGGGCACAGCTCAGAGACGTCAAATGGCACTAAGCACATTCTCTTTGCTGTGCAACTGTCCCCACCACCCATCTGTAGAACTTTCTCATCACCCTAAACTGAAGCTCTGTCCCCATCAGACGTTAACTCCCTATCCCCTCCCTGGTTCCTGGTGTCCCCATTCTACTTTGTCTCTGCAACTCCAGGGGACTCATGTAATCTACGCACACAAATCATTCCACATTTATCTGCTTGTGTCTGGCATATTTCACTGAGCACAGTGTCCTTAAGGTTCACCCAGATTGTAACCTGTGTCACCCTGTCCTTGTCGAAGCTGACCACCACCCACTACATGGACAGACCACTCTCATTTGTCTCCACCTGTGAGTGCACACCTGGCAGCTCCTGCCTCTGTGGACCTGGTTGCACAAGGGTCTGTTCCAGAGGCTGCTTTCAGTTCTGAGACGTGATGAGAAGTGGAATTGCAAGACTGCATGATTGTCTTGTCTTGTACTTGACCTTTTTTTTTTTTTTTGGAGACAGAGCCTCAAGCTGTCCCCCTGGGCAGAGTGCCGTGGCATTACAGCTCACAGCAATCTCCAACTCCTGGGCTCAAGCGAGTCTCCTGCCTCTGCCTCCCAAGTAGCTGGGACCACAGGCGCCCACCACAACGCCCGGCTATTTTTTGGTTGCAGCCGTCGTTGTTTGGCAGGTCCGGGCTGGGGATTCGAACCCGCCACCTTAGGTGTACGTGGCTGGCGCCCTAGCCCGTTGAGCTATAGGCGCCGAGACTTGTACTTGACCTTTTAATGCCCTACTTTTTTTTTAAGGGTGAAAGGGCTGTATTTTATCCAGAGTGGCCC